CCCCAAAACCCCAAAACCCCAAAACCCCAAAACCCCGTTAAGAATAAGTTTAGTGCTTTTGTAAATTAGTGAAAATATAATGATAGTAACTATAAGATCCTATAAGTTTATTAATTTTACAAAAATTGATTCGATAAGCAAGAAGCAAATGCTATAAAAACTAAAACTTTTGTCCAGTCACTTCAGCTCCCATACAGCCTAAGTTGATATATTAAGTGAGAATTTACTCCAAAAATACAGGGAAATGAGCAACATTGATATTGACTTCGTTTAGAAACTATCAATGAGGGAATACAATTTTGATTTGATTGCGAAATTGAACAAAATAATCTCTGACAAGTCAATTTTTGAAGACCAGATCAATGAAGAAGACGACAGAGAAACTACACGTGCTAAATTAAACCAAAGAATGATGATTTTCTTAGCAGAAATGAGGAAAATCATTCCGATGAAAGAGCTTCTCAATGATCTAAGTCTCATTATTAGTTCAGTCTATGTAATCTCGCCTTACAATGACTCTTTTGGTACAAAAATGATTGTTAATCTGCAACTTTACTATCTGACGATTCAAAACCTAGGGACTGACGTACATGAGAAATGGAAGTCAAGATGTGAGGATGGTACCGATATCGGGTGTTTCGCTCTGACTGAACTTGGCCATGGTTCTAACGTGAGAGGTATACTCACTCAGGCAATCTATGACAAGAAAACTAAGGAGTTTGTGTTACATACCCCAGAACATAAAGCAATGAAATTTTGGATTGGGGGAGCAGGTAAGTCATCTAATACTGCTTCTGTATTCGCTCAATTGTATATCGATGGCAAATGCTATGGACCACATGCGTTCTTAGTTTAAATCAGGGACAAGACTACTCATCTACCATTTCCAGGTATAACTCTTGGGGACTGTGGACAAAAAGCTGGTCATGACGGAGTAGATAATGGCTTCATCATATTTGATCATTTTAGAATACCAAAGGAAAACTTTTTAAATAGATTCTCAAATGTGACTGATGATGGTAAATTTGAAACAATAATTGAAAATCCAGATACTAGATTCGGGCTATCACTTGGTTCTCTAGCATCTGGAAGAATCATGCTCACAGGTACAGGTGGGTTTGCCTCTCAACTTTCTCTTAAAATTGCAATAAGATTTGCAGCAATTAGATAACAATTTGGGAAGCCTAACGACCCATCAGAGACATCTATTATTGAATACCCACTTCATCAACATAGATTATTCTCATTTGTGGCTTAATCTTATGGGTTCTACCTCGTACACTAAAGAATCTTGACCTTATGGGGGAAAAATTAAAAGAATATGTTCGTACCAGGAAATTTAAAATTGGCTGAGCTGCACTCCTTAATCTCATGCTTCAAGGCCTTGAGTACCTGGACTGCTTATAACTGCGCAAATGAATGCAGATAGTCTTGCGGAGGATTAGGGTACTCTTATTACTCAAGACTTAGCATCATTAAGAGTAATGTAGATGTATACCAAACTTGGGAAGGGGACAACAGTGTGCTTCTTTAGTAAACCTCAAAGTTCTTGCTTGAATTATTCAAAAGTAAGATGAAGGGAAAATAGACTAAAAAGACAATTACTTGTGAATGGATTAGTATGGACTAGGTAGAGGGTTAAACCTGCCTTGCAGAAGATGATGAGTAATTCTTAAACGTAGAAAATCTGATTTAGATTTTTGAGTTCAGAGCTAACTTGCTTCTCTAGAGAACAGCTATGGATTTGGCTCAGAAGTTAATGGATAAGGAAAATCATCCGTTAGATGCCTGGAATGACTCTCAATTGTTTTAGATGAATGATATGGCGAAAGCTTATGGAGAGCTAGTTTTGGTTAGGGAATATAGCTTAATTCTTCCCTAATTATCTAATACAAATGAGGATACAAGAGAATGCTTCATTAATCTATTTAGACTAGATGCTCTCAACAGAATTAAATCTGACATTGGAATATGGTTAGAGGGAGGATACTTAAATCCATAGCTCCATCCATCAATTGTGAAAAACTAAATAAAAGTATGCCTTAAAAACTTGAAGAGACATATGGTTGCATTGACATATGCTTTTGCACCAAATGAGGAAAACTTTAATAGCATGATTGCACCTAATCATGGAGATTTATATAAAAGCGTAGTTCAAAAAGTTTTTACTGCTCCTAAAGCATTTGAGAGAATCGGAACATGGAAAAACCTTTACCAGAAGTGAAAAAAATTACTTTGTTAATATCAAAACATTTCAAGAACTCAAAATTAGCACTATTTATATAGAATGGGGTTTTGGGGTTTTGGGGTTTTGGGGAGATCGGAAGAGCACACGTCT